ACACACACACACACACACACACACACACACACACACACACACACACACACATCCACCCCACCCTCCGCCCCCGCCCTTCATTTCCTCACAATGTCTTTCATTTTCCCAGTCAAGGTAAACAATTCAATAAAAAAGGGAAGTAAGCAAAAATAATGTAGTGAAATGTACATAAACATGAAAAAATGATATCAATAGGCGGATATTAGATCATATCTTTTCATATAAACTTTGAGCTTGTCAAGTATTAACAAATGGCCAAACATACACGGCCAACGATCGTCAGTTCTAATTGATCTCTTTTGATTAGACATGATGAACAGAAAACTATCTAACCCATAGCACAGTGGTGATAGCTGTGTACATAAGTAATAGGTGGCCGGGGGACGGAAGGCGGGGGCCTGTTGTAATAATCACATAACAGATCCCTGGTCGGGGGGGGGGGGGGTTTGCGGGGGCTGGGCAGGAGCGGGCAGGGCCTCAATTGGAGGGTTCTAAGGTGTGACTGGAGAGAGGAGAGAGGGAAAGTGTCTAAAACGGAGAGGGGACTTACCGGCGAACCTAACACTGTGGGGGATGAGCCGGACCAACAGGGAGCCTCAAGTGGAGGATAGGAAAGTGTGTGAGAGAGGGTGACCAAAGATAGATAACAAGGCTAAAACAACTCCTGGACATGGATGGCTGGTGTCGCTATATACAAATTATTGATGGTCAAAGGTGGATAGAGAGGGAATGTCGTCAGGTAGTCCAACGGTCTGTCTGTCTGTCTCTTCCGTGCCTCACTCTCTCTCTCTATCTCTCTCTCTCTCTCTTTCTCTTTCTCTCTATCTATCTATCTATCTATCTATCTCTTTTTCTCTCTTTCTCTCCCCCTCTTCCCTCTTCTCCTTACATAGTGGGGACCGGACTGAGAAAAAGGAGAGGACACTCCGGTATCTGTCCGCCGACCTGTCATAGTTCGTTAAGCGTGAATATGTGCAGAGGACAGTAAGCGGCTGGGCAGGAGCGGGAGGGGCCTCAATTGGAGGGGTCTAAGGTGTGACTGGAGAGAGGAGAGAGGGAAAGTGTCTAAAACGGAGAGGGGACTTACCGGCGAACCTAACACTGTGGGGGATGAGCCGGACCAACAGGGAGCCTCAAGTGGAGGATAGGAAAGTGTGTGAGAGAGGGTGACCAAAGATAGATAACAAGGCTAAAACAGCTCCTGGACATGGATGGCTGGTGTCGCTATATACAAATTATTGATGGTCAAAGGTGGATAGAGAGGGAATGTCGTCAGGTAGTCCAACGGTCTGTCTGTCTGTCTCTTCCGTGCCTCACTCTCTCTCTCTCTCTCTCTCTCTCTCTCTCTCTCTCTCTCTCTATCTATCTATCTATCTATCTATCTATCTATCTATCTATCTATCTATCTATCTCTCTTTCTCTCTCTCTCTCCCCCTCTTCCCACATCCCCTGACATAGTGAATATAAATAAAAAAAATTTTTAAGGTGATTTTAATCACTGATTTTTATTTAAAAAATCAAGTTGATTTAAATTTTAAAAATCAACTGATTAAAATCAGCCTGATTTAAATCAACCCAACCCTGGTTCCTGTCCGATCTAGCAAAATTCAATCAGTTTTCAAGGAGTCCTCGGGAAGCCTGCCACCAATCCTTAATGAAACCTTCTTATTCCTCTACGGCTATGGTGACTCCGGGGTCCACCAATCCTTAAGTAAACCTTCTTATTCCTCTACGGCTATGGTGACTCCGGGGTCCACCAATCCTTAATTAAACCTTCTTATTCCTCTACGGCTATGGTGACTCCGGGGTCCACCAATCCTTAAGTAAACCTTCTTATTCCTCTACGGCTATGGTGACTCCGGGGTCCACCAATCCTTAATGAAACCTTCTTATTCCTCTACGGCTATGGTGACTCCGGGGTCCACCAATCCTTAATTAAACCTTCTTATTCCTCTATGCCTATGGTGACTCCGGGGTCCACCTATCCTTTTTAAATTAAACTTATTTATTTCACTACGATGACCCTGGGGTCCACCGATCTTTAAAGAAACCTACTTATTTCACTACAATGACCCCGGGGTCCACCGATCTTTAAAGAAACCTACTTAATTCACTACGATGACCCCCGGGGTCCACTGATCTTTAAAGAAACCTACTTAATTCACTACGGTGACCCCGGGGTCCACCGATCTTTAAAGAAACCTACTTATTTCACTACGATGACCCCGAGGTCCACCAGTCCAAAAACCTAGTATTTCGCTAGGCATAAGACCCCGGGCACCGGTAAACAATTAAACCTGCTTATTTATCACTACGTTGAACCCGGGGTCCACCAATCCTTACTTAAACCAAACCTTATTTCACTACGGTGACTCCGGGGTTCACATCCTAAAACCTAGTATTTCGCTCTGCAGACCCCGGAGTCCACATATCCTCTACAGGACTCTACTATTATCAATTTGCAATTTTCATTGGTTAGCATTTTTTTTTTTAAAATATTGAATCAGAGACTCACTGTCTAAAAAGTCCACTGCTAATGTTATTCTTATCAAAGAAAAGGCACAATTTGACTTTATGACATGTTAAAAAAAGAGTTGTAAAAATATCCAGAAAATAACATAAAATGATTATATAGATCTAAATCTATACGTATTTTATTATGTATCTATATACTTAAAAGTAAAAGACTGAGCAGAGGCTTACAATGTAAATTCTGTGCTCTACAAGTAGAGAAAGTCTTAAGTTTGCGCAAAACAGATTTTAGAGAAAAAAAAGTTGGATCTAATTATTCTAATAAAAGCAAAAGTGATTGTTATGCTGAGATTTGTTATTATTAACTCTGGAAATACAGATAGTTGCTGAATCTAAAAGTAACTCAGATAGTTGCTGAATCTAAAAGTAACTCAGATAGTTGCTGAATCTAAAAGTAACTCAGTTAGTTGCTGAATCTAAAAGTAACTAGAACTGTGCTATTCGTTTTGTTTCAATGCCAAAGCCCAAAGGCATAGCAATGAGTTAGATCTAGATCTAGCAGTTGTAGGCTCTCTGGCTGCTTCTAGCATAGGCCTGCTACTACTGATTCTAGACAGGGAATCTAGATCTAGCTATCACCTGCACTATTACAGTCAAATATATGGTAATGTTTTGTCAGTCAGTTCATCCCAATTGCCATAGCTGCACGTATTAATAGCAGTGGCGGTGGGTGGACCAAGATATGAGTGGGGCTTAGGTTTTTTCCTCTTCTTTACCACCAAAAAGCAAGCAATAAGAACAACACGGTGATGATTTTTCTGTACTCTCGGCGAGCCACAGCATTTTGAGAACCATTCAAACGAGAAGAGTCACCTTTGTCTGCCATCTCTTTGTTCTACGTTAAATTCTTCTGGATAGTGGGGACAAAGCCATTTCACCTCCAAATTTTTAAAATAATTTTTTATTTGATTATTATTAAATCTCAGCGGCACAAATACACAGCACTCCAAACACACACCGTGTATGAGGTGGATAGGGTCGTGTTGTTGCAGAAAATAGAACGCGCCTAACAAAGGCCCAATGGGCGCATAGGTATCTGTGTCACTGGGGGAAAGTGTGTCGTAAACTTTCACCCCATTGTCAGGGCTGGGAGAGCGTGAGCCCTCTGTGCAGTGTTATTTTTGTCAAGTCTTCTACCTTTTTACAAGAGGGGTTTCGTAAAGGAGAGACCGTGGGAACGGGCTGGTTGATTGCTGAGCCCTAAAGACATTTGATTGGCTGTTAGGTTACTATAGTTGTAAGCGGGGACAACAGTGATTGGATAAACGAGCAAGCCGCCTAGTTTATCCCTCTGTGTTCATTGCAGAGGGTCAGAACAGTTTCAACTGCTTATTTCGTTATTTTCATTTGCCTTGGGATAGACTTGGGGGAGGGGGGGGGGGTGGAGAGGGGGGCTCAAGCCCGTGAGCCCTTCACTACCCACCGCCACTGATTAATAGTTGAATAATGCGATACCGAAGCAACACGTTATCATAGTGTGCAGGGGAGAGCAGGGTGCCCGGGTCGCTGACCGGTCGATATGGTGGTTCGGCTTTTGTAGATCTATGCATTTTTTGCGGAAAGCCCTATTACTAGATCTATTAGTGTTGTGAAAACTTCAACCTCTACAGCTCAGGCGTCAAAAGATGTTGGAAAATAATAATACGTCCTGAAGTTTCATAATTTATACAGAATAACACAGCCAGTAGTTTTTATTTCATCGAGTTATAAAAATGACCTTGTAACTTGTTTTCAGAAGCACATTTTAATAGTTCCAGTTCTACCGAATCGATTTTCACGCAAATTCAACCATTTTGATGACCTTTCTTTTCCTATTAAAAAAGATGTAGGCCTGTCGGATGTGGCAGTGCGATTAACACTGAGTTGTTTAGACCCATCAAAACACGAGGCTTCGTGGCCGATCACGAAAGTCTACGGGGCTTATCGAGACCAAAGATTCTCTACACGATCTTTGCTACAACTACTACTACATGTACTACTACGAGACAGTACGAGACAGTGCCACCCAGGCAAAGATAGTGTAACTTTGACTCAGCCACGTTGTGAACACACTTTTTATACCCCAAATTTTACCCGGAAGTCCATTCGGAGGATTTGACCTTTTCACTTGACCAAAGTGTGCCAAAATGGTAGCCTAGCTTTTGCCCCTCCATGAAGGAAAAATCTGGCCCTCGTTCAAACCATTGGGATTGAGCAAAATTTTGCGTATTGTGCTTTGTTCTTACAATATTCATTATGATTAAATATATAAGTTGTACACTGAGGCAAAACCGTACTAAATGAGAAAGGTGCACCATTATGAAAGTGGAACGAACTCAGTTGCCTGAAAAGGGTGTCCCCGGTAGTTTGAGCATGTGTGGCCTAAATAAGCTAACCCCCCCCCCCCCTACCTTACCTTATTTAGGCCATATTATGTAGCCTAAATAAGCACTCCCTTGGTATTTATCTTGACAAGTTTTTGTTCACATTTTGAATATAGTGAGTTGAGAAATTTAAGTTTTTATGAACGGAAAGCGGTCGTGGGTTGAACATGATGATGTAGATCTAGGAGGAGTTTACGAAACGTAGAAGTAGATTAGATCTTACAGTTTAAAAACGACAGAACAGCCAGTGGTGCTCTGCAATGAACTGTTGTCTAATAGATTGGATATTTTTAAAACTAAAGATACAGCCACTGCTAGAGTCCAGCAGCCTAACTGTTGACTAGATCTAGATTAACTAGACAGCGAGCTGTTCCCCGATGTCAGAATCAATGATCAGGAACTGAAGCTTAGAAACAATGGCACTCCTGTACAATGGCGGTCCCGTGTGCTCTAAATCACTCAAGGCCTAAGTGCCCCTGTAGTCATTTGTACCTGTTTCTTATTTAGATTTAGGCTTAGATTATAGATATCTAGATCTAGATCTATACTGAATTAGAATTATAGATCTAATCAAGATCTAGAAATAGATTATCTTGGCTATCTAGATCTAGATAGAATCTAGAGATATCTCTACATCTAGATATAAATCTAGATCTAGATAGAATCTAGAGATATCTCTACATCTAGATATAAATCTAGATCTAGATAGAATCTAGAGATATCTCTACATCTAGATATAAATCTAGATCTAGATAGAATCTAGAGATATCTCTACATCTAGATATAAATCTAGATCTAGATAGAATCTAGAGATATCTCTACATCTAGATATAAATCTAGATCTAGATAGAATCTAGAGATATCTCTACATCTAGATATAAATCTAGATCTAGATAGAATCTAGAGATATCTCTACATCTAGATATAAATCTAGATCTAGATAGAATCTAGAGATATCTCTACATCTAGATATAAATCTAGATCTAGATTCACTCCCACATGACAATAATGGCCGTCATGTAAACATTAAACGGGACCGCAATTGTACAGGTGCACCGAAAAAGAAGCCATTGAAACGAGCACAGAAGCTTAAGTAGATCTATCTTCTGTTGATATGATAGTATGAATCAAGTTGCATGATATAGATCTAGAGTGTCTCCGCCAATTCACAGACAAGAGTCATTCGCCAACCACTTAGGGGCCTAGATCTAGGTCTACTTTCCGAACTGCACACTCTTGGCTGGGTGCACAACAAAATCTAGACTCTCTAGATCTAGATTCTAGATTCTAGATCTAGATAGGCTACGTTTATTCATTAAATACTCTCTCTCTCTCTCTCTCTCTCTCTCTCTCTCTCTCTCTCTCTCTCTCTCTGGGCTAAAATAAATAATATATTAATTTTAGTAGGCCTTGGCTAGACATACCGCCCGAGATGATCAGTAGCCTTGCGTTGTAACCAATGTAAACTATCGCCAGTCCAGCGAGTTTTACGCGCAGCAGCTAAAGTGGGAGGGGCCTGCGCTTGTCACATGGCGCATAGAAGAGTTGTCCCGTCTTGTCTTATTCCGTCTTTGGTTATAGCGACCGAAAACATTTCTTCTTTAAAATTGGCTCTTTTCACAGCCTTTCCAGCTCTCTAGCATTGTTTTGTCGTCTGCTTTCGTCTCCACTTTCTGCCCTCACCCCCTTTGCTCCCTCCTCGGGGCTCCTGACTCTTTCTGCAGCCTTTCTACTGCTACTCCTTGGCACCCTCTTGCTGCTGTCTTTCAGCCACACCCCTCATCTTCTGGTAGGAAAGATCTACACCTAGCCTTCTAGGACAAGTGTGACAAATCTCGGAGGTCCCGTGTGCAAAATGCGAACGTTAAAGATCCCTTGGTGGTTTAAAATCGTAAAGAGTAGGCTTTGGCCGCCACCCGGGCAAAATTCAAAATGTCCTACCAACTGAAAAAGAGGATGTGCAGTAAGGTTCTTGGGGTAGGCCCAGACTGTCTAGACTGTCTGGAGTGTCTGGAGTGTCTAGAGTGTCTAGACTGTCTGGAGTGTCTAGAGTGTCTAGACTGTCTGGAGTGTCTAGAGTGCCTGGAGTGTCTGGACTGTCTAGAGTGTCTAGACTGTCTAGAGTGTCTGGAGTGTCTAGAGTGTCTAGACTGTCTGGAGTGTCTAGAGTGTCTGGAGTGTCTAGAGTGTCTAGACTGTCTGGAGTGTTTAGACTGTCTAGAGTGTCTGGAGTGTCTAGACTGTCTGGAGTGTCTCGACTGTCTGGACTGTCTAGAGTGTCTAGACTGTCTGGAGTGTCTAGAGTGTCTGGAGTGTCTAGAGTGTCTAGACTGTATAGAGTGTCCAGACTGTCTAGACTGTCTAGACTGTCTGGAGTGTCTAGACTGTGTGGAGTGTCTAGAGTGTCTAGACTGTCTGGAGTGTCTAGACTGTCTAGAGTGTCTAGACTGTCTAGACTGTCTGGAGTGTCTAGACTGTCCAGACTGTCTAGAGTGTCTAGACTGTCTAGACTGTCCAGACTGTCTAGAGTGTCTGGAGTGTCTAGACTGTCTAGAGTGTCCAGACTGTCTAGAGTGTCTAGACTGTCTAGAGTGTCCAGACTGTCTGGAGTGTCTAGACTGTCTAGACTGTCTGGAGTGTCTAGAATGTCTAGACTGTCTAGAGTGTTCAGACTGTCTAGGCTGTCTGGAGTGTCTAAAGTGTCTAGAGTGTCCAGAGTGTCTAGACTGTCCAGAGTGTCTAGACTGTCCAGAGTGTCTAGAGTGTCTAGAGTGTCCAGAGTGTCTAGACTGTCCAGAGTGTCTAGAGTGTCCAGAGTGTCTAGACTGTCCAGAGTGTCTGGAGTGTCCAGAGTGCCCAGAGTGTCTAGAGTGTCTAGAGTGTCTAGAGTGCAGAGAGTGTCTAGACTGTCTAGAGTGTCCAGAGTGCAGAGAGTGTCTAGAGTGCAGAGAGTGTCTAGAGTGTCTAGGGTGTCCAGAGTGCATAGAGTGTCTAGAGTGTCTAGAGTGCAGAGAGTGTCTAGACTGTCTAGAGTGTCTAGACTGTCTAGAGTGTCTGGAGTGTCTAGACTGTCTAGAGTGTCCAGACTGTCTAGAGTGCAGAAAGTGTCTTGAGTGTCTAGAGTGTCTAGACTGTCCAGAGTGTCTGGAGTGTCCAGAGTGTCTAGAGTGTCCAGAGTGTCCAGAGTGTCTAGAGTGTCCAGAGTGTCTAGAGTGTCCAGAGTGTCTAGAGTGTCCAGAGTGTCTAGAATGTCCAGAGTGCAGAGAGTGTCTAGAGTGTCCAGAGTGCAGAGAGTGTCTAGAGTGTCCAGAGTGTCTGGAGTGTCTTAAGTGTCTAGAGTGTCTAGAGTGTCCAGAGTGTCTATTGGGTCTAGAGTGTCCAGAGTGCAGAGAGTGTCTAGAGTGTCCAGAGTGCAGAGAGTGTCTAGAGTGTCTAGAGTGCAGAGAGTGTCTAGAGTGTTCAGAGTGCAGAGAGTGTCCAGAGTGCAGAGAGTGAGAAAGAAAAACGTAGTCACCGCCATAAGCTAGACTGTCTAGAGTGCAGAGAGTGTCTAGAGTGTCTAGAGTGCAGAGAGTGTCTAGAGTGTTCAGAGTGCAGAGAGTGTCCAGAGTGCAGAGAGTGAGAAAGAAAAACGTAGTCACCGCCATAAGCTAGACTGTCTAGAGTGCAGAGAGTGTCTAGAGTGTCTAAAGTGCAGAGAGTGTCTAGAGTGTCTAGAGTGCAGAGAGTGTCTAGAGTGTTCAGAGTGCAGAGAGTGTCCAGAGTGCAGAGAGTGAGAAAGAAAAACGTAGTCACCGCCATAAGCTAGACTGTCTAGAGTGCAGAGAGTGTCTAAAGTGTCTAGAGTGCAGAGAGTGTCTAGAGTGTCTAGAGTGCAGAGAGTGTCTAGCGTGTCTAGAGTGCAGAGAGTGTCTAGAGTGTCTAGAGTGTCCAGAGTGTCTAGAGTGCAGAGAGTGTCTAGAGTGCAGAGAGTGTCTAGAGTGTCTAGACTGCCTAGAGTGTCTAGACTGCCTAGCGTGTCTAGAGTGTCTGGAGTGTCTAGAGTGCAGAGAGTGTCTAGAGTGTCTGGAGTGTCTAGAGTGTCTAGAATGCAGAGAGTGTCTAGAGTGTCCAGAGTGTCTAGAGTGCAGAGAGTGTCTAGAGTGCAGAGAGTGTCTAGAGTGTCTAGACTGCCTAGAGTGTCCAGAGTGTCTAGACTGCCTAGAGTGTCTAGAGTGCAGAGAGTGTCTAGACTGCCTAGAGTGTCTAGACTGCCTAGAGTGTCTAGAGTGTCCAGAGTGTCTAGAGTGCCTAGAGTGTCTGGAGTGTCTAAAGTGTCTGGAGTGTCTGGAGTGTCTAGAGTGTCTGGAGTGTCTGGAGTGTCCAGAGTGTCTAGAGTGTCCAGAGTGTCTAGAGTGTCCAGAGTGTCTAGAATGTCCAGAGTGCAGAGAGTGTCTAGAGTGTCTAG